CAGGCGCAGCCTTCAAACTGCCCAAGACCACCGACCACCATAGCCACAAGGCCCTGCCGCGGCTGGCGTCCAATCCCCACCACTGCTCAGTCCCTCCGACTGCTTCACCCCGAGACTACCGCGGGTCCACCCCACGTCGTCACTCCACCCGTCCTTGGGCTCGTCGAGCCTGTTCGGCGCCGCGGACTCTCGCGCATAGCTCGTGCAGCATTGCAGCCGAGATCAAAGAGGAAGAGAGGAGAGGGTTGCGTGAATTTATAGCGTGGGAGGCGGCGGGTTGTCAGCGCGAGGTGCGGGCAACACAGGTTGTAGATGAGCAGGACAGGAGGAAGGTGGGGAGTTAGAGGGTTCGACCCGCGGGATGGCATGGTCCTACGTGATTGGGGTGTCCGTTCAAGTGGCGCGCGGTTTCCCGCTCTCCACATTGATCCGAGCATCCCAACTACGCGGCCAATCACTTCGCGGGGATAGGATCGAGCTGGGCGGAGGGGAAGACAAAGAGTCCGGCATGGGGAAAATGCGCGGAGCAAGAAGGGAAGATGGCGCAGGGATGCAAAGCAAGAAACGGGGATGCGAGATGCGCGAAGAGATCGGAGCTCGGGCGTGCGCGCGCAAAAAAATTCAAAAAGTCCCAACCGCCCCCGTTTCTTGGTTTTCATACCGCGGCCGCTATTCGCCCGCGCGGGAGTTATTAACCAAACAAAATGAAAAAGCTGTTTCAAAAAGAAAACAAAAGCAGGAAAAACCCCTTTCTGTCTGTGTCCGTACTTCGGGGCTTCCGTGGGATCTTTCCTCAGGGATACGGGAAGCCGCGCGGTACGGATCTGAGCTTATCACAACCCTGCCCGCAAATATTTTTGCTGTGACACGACCAGGTCCTGTAAATCTGCAGCGAAAGATGTATTTTTGCCACGAAACTTGGGCCCCGCCACTATTCTTGCTGTGAAACTACCACCAATGAAACTTACCCTACTCTGCAATCTTCGATCTGGCTGTGGAGATGGTGGGTTAGGATTTGGAACCAGCTGGGTACATCCCAGGCGTGGCCATGGGACTGGAAGGCCCTTCTTCTGGATTGTTGGCATCCCAACCAAGAGGAAAAGTTTACTACTAATCTATTCTCAATAAGTAGAAAAGCCATTATCTGGGCAATTTGGACAAGAAGATGCACCTTTGAAATGGAGGGTGCCCAATTGGATGGACCGGACTTTACAGATTCTATCAAACAACATATTCAAACAGTAATCTCGGTTAAGTGGCAACAACTTAAAGAAAAACTTCTTCACTTTTCCTTACGAAATGATATTTGGCATCAAATCAACCTCTTTAATAAATGCTGGCTGGGCGGGGACCAGGTAGGGAGGCTGGGTAAAGTAATTTGGGAGGAAGGACACACTAATTCTCAGGAGCCCATCAAGAGGAATTATCAGCTGATTTTTCATGATTGGAGTTCTGTTGACCCCTCTATCCCCCTCAGTCCTGTCTCTGAGTTTCCGGACTTCTTTTCCCCTCCAAGTAATTGTTTAGTCCCTGCCTCTTGGTATGGGTAATCCCTTGTACAGTCCTTGAGAGAAAGGTTCAGGAAACGGATGAGGATAGATGCTTGGTTTGCAAGTTCTTTCTGGCGTCCATGATGGGTGAAGAGGCATTATACTCTTCAGTTCTAGACTGGGATGGATGGGGGTTCGGGTTGGTTTTCGTGGATCAATGCTACTCCTATGATATTGTTCTCAAAGGGACGCTGGACCCGCTTTCCACCAGGTGCTGCTCCCCACCAATAGATTGGAGTTAAAAAAAAAAAAAAAAAAAAAAAAAAAAAAAAACCCTACTCTGCAATCTTTGGAGGCCGCAGCCTAATGATGAAGTGCGGGCAGTTCTGAAGGGCTCATTGACTACAGTTAGGGCCTCCTTGCTTTCCAACCTGCACCAAATTGTCCTCTTGGATTGGAAGAGGCATGTTGCCAGTGCCAAGTCTATTGTTGCCAGAGTGCGAAGCTGCAGAAAAGATGGGCAGAAGCCAATGCTTTGGCTAGAAAAGATGCCTGCTTCGGTTACAATAGATGGATGTAGGGGGGATATCCGGTTTGGATCCCTTCTCGCAAGCCATCCGAGTGAGGAGTGAAAGTGGTTTTCTCATACGATTTTCTTTAACCGACCTTTACGAACTGAAGATGATAGATAGATGGGTAAGAGATTCACCGCTAGAAACCCAAGATGCAGCTCATGCTTCATATTATAAAAGAGTTCCTCCCAGCATCTCACAGGGCGCTGCAATTGCAGATACCAGTGTCCATAGCAATGGATTGCTTAAATTTGTTTTCTGATCAGAACTGCGGGAGAAAGGGTTACGAACTCACTGTCAAAAAGAAAAAGGAAAAGAAGGAAAGAAAAAAAAAAAAAAAGGAGATTGGCTGGATACCATCTGTTCTACAGGGGTTAGGCTCAGACCTGTTTGGGGGCACCTGTTCAGTCTGATTTGTTGGCCCATCGTCCCATTTGAGCATGTCTTTGGGACTTTTTTGGATTAGTTGTTTTGTGTCTGCGGCCGTATTGGCCAAATTGCCCATTTCGGTGTCTGGGTGGGTTTTGCCCCTCTTGTTGGCCCCCGCCTGTTTTCGGGGCGTCCGGGTCTGACGTTGGACCCTATTGGGATTGTGTTTGTTTTGGTGGTAGATGGTCTGGGTCTTTTAGCTGGTCTGCAGGAATAGCCTAGATTATATATTGGGTATGCACAGTTGCTTTTCTATCTCCGCCGTGACATTAGACCCCTGACGATTCCGGCCCTAGCGGCCGGATGAAACATGTAGGGTCTACCACCAGATACTCGGACAGGATCTTGACGACTACGGGCATGATGCCTATTTTTGGTTCGAGCTGATTCGGGAGAATTGTATACTGTGTACTTCTCACTTTCTGCTTCATCCTTCTGCCGTGCTGCTTCTCGTTGCTAGGTTTGATTGTGTCTGCTATGCATGCTCTTGATGTATTGTTGCTCTATCGAAGTTATTTGGATTGATGTTCTCATCGCTCTTCTTCAGGGGACTGAGGCCGTTTTTGCCCCAGGGCCTGCCTTGTCGTGGCATGGATGTATGTTTGCCTTGGTTGATTACCGACAGAGGTGATGTAAGCAAGATCACATGTACATGGCATGCAAGCACACTCACGCACAGAGTTCAAGACTCTCAGGACGCAAATCCAAAAAATCCGAACAGTATTGCTTAGTATTGCTTCATACAAAACTCGTAACCCGGCGGGTATGGCACCCCGACCGGTTTCAACCGCCGCCACGCGGTCTCATCAGGGGGAACAACCTTCGTCAACCCTTGGACTATACCTGCTGACCACGAACCCCACCTCCGCTGCTTATCCTGYKGCATCTCCGGAAAATGTCYACWGGTCCGTCAGCGTCSGACCCRGAAAGAGTTTCGGCATAGCAATAATCCTATATATAGAACAGGCCATCAGTCTATATTACACTGCGATCAAAGACACCAGGCCGTCCGATTACCAAAACAACTGAAAAACGACAAAGGGGTATGGCCATTATCGCACAGCCCCCCGTCTACCTTTTTTTTTTTTTTTTTTTTTTTTTTCAGACAACAACCCAAGCTAACGCTGGGGGTGCTGGAAAGAGCAGACATACTGCAGCCAAACGCCGCCAAAAAAGCCGTACGACAAGACCTACCGGAAAAGCCCCCCAAAAAGCCCAAAAGGCCAAAAAAGGCAAAGGGACAAAACCCGACGGATCCAAAAGGTCCAAGCGTAAGCTCAGGGCCCTTTCCGAGTACCCGGGGTCCAAAGTCGGAGGGCAGGAAAAACAGTCAGACCCCTGTCCCATCCTCCGAAACTCACGTTCTACCTCTGACACATCGATTGCGTAATGCCACGGATCACCGAACAAGATAACAAAACAAAACAGGACAAAACAAAACAAAGACAAAAACAGAAAAATAGAAAAAACAAAGAACAAAAGGCAACGTGAAACACTCCGAAAAAACTCGTGTGCGAAGGTTACATACATCCAACCGGCGCGGATCTAAAGAGCATGACTAATTGTACAACCAGTCCACTGTCGTTGACCAAATCTGATCCCTACCACCAGCAAAACAACGAATTACCCTTTCAACCAACAGCGATGGGAAATCCTTCATACGACACTCCCTCGTCAAATCCAAGACGCGCATAGGTATCATCCATCTTCGATTTGTGTTGCGATCGATGCGGTGCAGTTGACTCGAAAGTGCTGCACTCTTCTGGAGCTTACTGCCCCAAGAACGATACGATTGGCCATTCTTAAATTCCAACACGTCGCTTTCCCAGATTGACACGTCGTTCTTAGTCATCTGGAAGCAACTAACATATGTTGAATGGCTTCTGCGACCATTCGCGTACCTAGGAAGTCCCATTCACCCAAGCCATCGTAATCGTTTTAGCTGTAAGTTGCTAGGACAGCATACCTCAAAAGCCTCCCTGATCTCGTCGACGCTCATCGGGCACTTGCGTCACTGTACAACAATCAGGCTGACGTCATCCATCAGCCGCAGACCAAAGACATTCCGACTCACGTTCCCCAGACCTTGCAGAAAACGAAACTCTGCAAAAGCACACATGATACACGCAAGTGGTGGGCTTGTGCTTTTTCCCATCGGGATGCCCACCACTTGTTTCAACAATACACTCGTTGCACGTGTATATGTATGCCGTAGTTCAAACCGTATGAACGTCTTAATCTCATGAAGATTGATCTGACGCCAGTGGTCATCGCCTGTCATTCGCCCGAAAGAACTGCCTTTACCCCGTGTGTTCACACGCACCGACTCCCTACCCTTGCTGAGATGGAAGTCAACAATCCAATCCACCGCCTTGACAATATCAATGTGCGGTAATTTGCAGAACATGTCCTTGATGTCGTATGACATCACGGACGGAAGCTTGTTACCGTCAATCATATGCCCAATCTTCCTGTTAACCGCCTCCAATCTTGGAACCAAATCCGACACCGACTTCAGGTTGAAATGACACTACATGGGGAGAGCATTCAACAAATGATTAAGAGCCTTGGCTACAGCTTTACATGTCCTGACAGTAGGTTCCATGTAGGTGGGGCAGATCGGCCGAAACCTTGTCAAGTCCTTGTTTTTGGGCATCACGTAGGCTTCACCAAATTTCCCCTTCTTCTCCCATCTAACAAAAGGTAGCAGCCCTTCATTCTTTGCTTCTTCCCGCATACACAACTTCACGTCTACTTCCTCCTTACTCATCACAATATAGCCAGAATTACTGACAAAAAGGTTCATCATCGCCTCGAAGTACACTTTAGGACACAGTACAAGCGTCTCGCCAGCATTCCTATCCAACGGAGTTAAAACCAGGCCATTCATACGCACCTTGATCTCCTGCACTGTGTTGACATCAATAAAACGTGATTTTTTGTCGATCGTTGTCGTCATGCAGCGTGTCGCATCGCCCTCACCAATAAAAGGTGTCTGTCCACGGAAGTTAGCCCAGGATTGAATCCCATCGGCCAACTCCTGACGCAGCAACGTACCGCAGTTGAGATGATTGTGCCTCGGCACGTTATTAGCGTTGAATATTAGAGGATCAACGTCCTCCAACTCCTGCAATCTAAACTGCACGTGATCTCCTACCCGAGGGTAGGGAAGCCCTGTACAGGTACAGGTAAGCACTTCAGCTTTCGCGAACGAGCGCTGGTTGTGCAACAACACCACAATTGAAGGGTTCTTAACCCAAACGATCCGGACCTTGTTACGTGCAAGGTTCTTCATGCAGACAGGAATCTGCAGTTCCTTGATCCTGTCGTTCAGCAGCTTGCGAACTTCCACCAACTTAATACGGTCATCAAATTTAATACGAACAATCATCTTCGCGTTAAGACTCCAACCATAGACGTCCTTCACTGTGCGCGAAATTAACCTGCGCAAGAAAGAGGTTGTATTGGCCTTCTGAAAATCAGCAGCCACCCCATTCAATCTGATCAACACTTCGAGCGAGCATCGCTTCAGCGCCCCCATACGGTATGGATTACGCAAGATAAACCCCATAAATTTCTTATCAGGTCCAATCTTGGGTTTCCAACGCCTCAACTGCCTAAACTCCACAGTCCCGCCTTGTTCTATCCAAGATTTGCACTCCCTCAATTTACAACATACACCCTCCCGTCGCACTACAGAATCCCCAAACGAGTTGCGCACAGAATTCCAACCACCACACCAAACGTTGCCCCTTGCGGTATGCATGGTAAAGGTCTGAGTGCAAGCCTCCTCCATATCCGCGAGCATGCGGTATATCCCCATGCTGTACATTCCGCCTTCACCGATCTTTGCCCGTACTGGAGTAAAAGTCGCAGGCTCTCGGCGAGATCTATCGTCCTGTTGTCTGCTACGCTCCCTACGTCCTTTTCTTCCACTACTCCTGGCATGTTGTTTACAACTCTTTGCGGCCGTGTTCAGTATTGGAGACCATCGACGAATATATACTTGCTCCAGAAGTAACAGCTCAGTAGTCGTACGGCAATCCACCGGTATAAGCACATAGGACTCAATACCAAATACACGCCACCATCGATATATGTGATTCTTCCTTAGACCCCGCTTGTAAACGGAAACATGCTCAGACCAACGGATACGAGCACCCCTATTAGTCTGCCCTATGTATTGTGCTTTACAGAAGGGCGATGTGAGAATATACACACAGCCTTGTTCTTCCGTGAAGGCCCGAATACCCTGCTTTGCGTAGAGCGCTACGGTGCTACCCATGCTTCCGTGCACTTCCATAGCCATCTAATCTTCCCTTCTAAGGCTAGGATGATGACAACAAACCAGAATAACTTCTCCACCACCGCATCAGTCACAAATTTCTTGCAAAACTCAATCAAGCGATTACAAAGAAACCAAAGGTCCTGGGTACTTCACGCATTTGTACTTTCATCACTCGCAACAGCCTGCTGTTCGTCGTCTTTGACTCGCACACCGGTATCGTCCACGTGTTCCTCCGCGCCATATGCCACTTGGGTACGCTTATCCGCAAGTGCTAAGATGATTTGCATCTTCCTGCATTCGGTACCCAGCTGCACGTCCTCTTGAGCACACAAGCGCTTAAGTTCATCAACGTTCAGTTTGCCTAGTTCACGAAGATTATCTGTGACAAACTTGAGTTTTCCGCACGATCCCGACGGTGCCGGGATCTTCTTCCTGCTTGTGGCGCAGCGGCGTGGCGTCAACACGATTGGTGAGCGCTTCATTGGTGGATGCCTTACACTCAGGTGTAGGCGCCGCTTAGCAGTCTTCTTCGCTGGAGTTTCCATTGGCGGGCTATCACCTAAGTGTCGATCCTCGGCGCGCTTCCGCTTCTCGAAAATGACGAGTTGTTCCGCACGGTTGCTTAAAGCTTCAACCTCACTTTCGTTGGAGTCATAGGTCTCATCATCTGACGTCGGCACCTCGATCTTCTTCTTTCCTTTAGCACCGCGTCAGGCTTCCTCCTCCTAGTGATCACCGCGCTCACATAGGTAGATGAGTTCCTCTCTCAAACCACCCATGTGCTTAGACACCTCCATACGCATTGTGACGCCCAACCTCACGCCCGGCGCGACTTCCTCATCGGAGTGGGATATGGGCCTGGAAGTGCAAAAAGGGGTGTGCCAAGGATTTTTGGGAAAGTGGGGGTGGAGTCCCAGGTCGGAACTGAGATCTCCTGTGGCAAAGTTTCAGGGGCATAGATGCAATAGAGCTAAGGGGGCGGGTTGCTTTCGGTCTGTGGGCGTTCGATGTCGTGCAGCATAAGGCAGATGGCATGCGCGGTGCATTCAAGGCCGCCCGATCCGTCTGTTTTGGGGGCGGCGGTTCGGGGAGAGGCCCGCCCGGGATGGTTGTGTTCCCGATGAGTCGGACCTTTGAGTGCAGACATGTGGCGTCTGTCGTCGCGCGTTTGGGTTAGGCCCTCTTTCAGCGGCTCGTCGGTTGCTGCGTCGCCGGCAATTTCTGCAGGGCGTGCGGGGCCAGTACGGGGCGATGGAATTCCACAGAACCACCGTGAGTTGGTGATACGGGAGGAGGAGACGGAAGGGAGGGAAATTGGTAGAGATAACGACGAAGTCGGGGGATATGAAATATTGCGTGTTGTGCGAAGTGGGAAAATCGGGGCACCTCGGATCACTGGTTGTGGCGCAGTGAAACTCCCTGGGGCACAATCGATTCTCGGTTAGGCAGGGGAATTCCGAGTATCTTTGCCTAATACACTCTCTCACCCAAGGGTCCGAGTCCCAGGAGCTCGGCATCTTATCATTACAGTGTGATGGAATTCTTCCACACGCGTCTAACCGGCAAGGAGATTTTCCGATGTGATATCGGAAACTCCTATCCGTTTCGGTGCGTGGGGGAAGGAAAAATCCCGCCAATCCAATATCAAGGGTGTCAAGTTCGTCAATGGTCGCGAATCGGCGTGCGTGGATACGTGTAGGTTGCGCAGATCAGATCGCGCTTACATGCATCCCCGCGAGGTATTCGCTTTGGTCAAACCACTACCCAATCATATAATCACTCCGTGATCCCGCACGCAATCGTTCCTCAGCAGGCAAGGTGCTATTACACATCGGGCATCACAGCAACAACAGTGGCTCAGAAAGGAATAAACAGCAACGGAAGCAGTAATAACGACTACACAGAAGTTTCTAGTATGCTCACGAGTGTATCAAAATGACAAGCGAAGGCAAGGACCAGACAAAAGAAAAGCAACAAACATGACATTCGTTCATCCATTCATTCGACAAAACACACAACAAACGAGATCGAGATCAATCGTAAAACGAGCGCAGGCTGAAACCGCGACAAGGATCTCGAAAGCAAAAGAAAACGGGTGAGTCGCCATGAGCCGATATCAAAATTTATATACAAAAGCAAAGAGGGAGAAAAGACAAAGAAAACTGCAAATCCACATCCATCAACCTCAGCTCCCTCTTCCTCTCTCTCTCTCCGATGCGGACAGTCCGTCGTCATGCACCAACCCACGAAGTTGTCACCCCGCTTAGTCCTCTTGCACCCGTTAGGTTCGCCCGCGCCCTACAATTCGTCGTAGCCCCACGCATCAACCCTGCGCATTCGGCACCAGCTCGTCGGGTCGCCCGACTCCCACTTCAACTCACCTCTTACTTCGCTCGTGAGCCGACCCTCACTGATCGTGCTACCCTGAGTTTCCAACGGCTGGTTAAGAGAGTTATCTAATCGCGCAGCCATAATTTTTAGTGTGCATTCATGCGCGAAGAACACGGAATTGCAAGGACTTAGAAAAGAGATTAGGAGAGGGAGCGCCTACGTTCTGCATGGCCAGACCGAGGCGTGGGGGACGTAGCCACTCTCCACTCATCGATCCGAGCATGCAAGCCGCGGGCTAACTAGGCACAGCAGAAGGGGAAGGGAGAGCGGGAAAGACGAAGCTCAAGAAGAAAGATACAGTTACAATGGCCCCCGCCAAAAAAGTACAGAATTTAGAGTTACTTGCAAGATTAAGGGCGCCGACTAATAAGAACTCCGTTGCGGCTGCAAAAAGAAGTGCGCAAAAAAGACAGCGCCCAGCAAAAGAAATCCCGAATTCCTAAATTCCTAAATTCCTAAATTCCTAAATTCCTAGCTAATGCAAAAAGAAATACTAATTCCGAAAAAAAAATCCGAAGTTCCGAGAGCCGTCAAGGCTCGACAAGATTCAAAAGAAGAAAAAAAAAAGGAAAATTCGAAAAAATCGAAGCGAAGATTCTCGCGCGATCTCCGCGCCTAAAATTCGACAACAGAACAGGAAAGAAGTGACGTCAACCATTATTAATCGTGCCCTGTCGGTGCGCCAGCCACTCAAACGGCCATCTCAGGACTTGCCCGACCCTGAACCCAGCTGTCCGAAAAAAAACAACGAGAGACGAAAAAGCGAGGACACTGATGCAATTTTCCCTCAATCCCGATCTCTCGTAATTGGCCCAACCTTCCCATCTTAGGACCCCTCATTATCATCGCGCAGAAGATCGCGCGGAACAGAAATTGGTTCGTCACATATGTGACGCCCAGGGGGTTCCAATCTTAAGTAAGCTCCTGCTTGCTTGAATCGTGACAAGTGTCGGTCTCTCTAACCGATCGTCACGCGGAGCTTTCTACGTTGCCACCAATCGTGCAAAAGAGTGTGGAAGTCATTCAGGGTGGCACACGTGGCTCTATCCTACAATTTCCTCAGGATGGGCTCTCTTCATTCCGAGGAGGGGATCGTGCGTGCCGTCACCGTGGCACGTGCCAATCAACCATACATTAGTGTCCTAAGGGAAGGGGAAAGGGAAGATGATACAGGGGGCATGGCGAGGGGGTGGGTTAGTCGGGAGCGGGGGGAAAGCGTTCCAACCCCGCGACTGTCTCCGGAAGCTCCTGATATCAAACGATCCGGTGGAAGCGAGAGAATCGATTACCACTATGAGGGAGGGAGGCGAGATAGTCGGGGTAAAGGGTCGTGAAAGTTCGGAGAAGCGCTACGCGGAAGTGATCGTGGTTTTCGCACGCGGGGATAGTCTCGGTGATCATGCAATAAACCTCGACCATGTTGTGGCCTCGCCACGCGGCGCTGGAGAGAAGGGCGTGGAGACAGAAGGCAGGGATGGCGCACCGGGTAGAAGGATGGGGATGAACCATGATAGCAAGACGGGTGGCGTAGAAAAAGCGGAAGGTGTCGATGGGGAAGGGATTGCTGGGCAAGGTGATGCAGGTAGTGATCTGGCGGAGCGTTAGGTGGTCAAGGGGACAACGGGATAAGGATCGGGGACGAAGTCCGATGCCCCGCATCGGTATGAGCTCGAACTGGGGGACGGGCTGAGGTGGAGGGGGAGGGGGATCGGCTCCGTCGTCGCCTGGCCGGTGCGCTCGAAGTCTCAGCAGCAAGGTCCCTATCTTCTGGCTTAGGCGGCTCCGGATCCTTAGCGGGATCGTTTGAGATTGGCAGATCTGCTTCGTTTGCGTATTCCAGCTGTTGCTTGCCGGCGGCGATTTCTTCTCTCTTCCGCACCGCCTCGAGATCCTCCTCCTCCTCTTCCACATAATCCGCCTCTTCTCCCAAGGTTTCCGACTTAGATTCCTCTTCTTCCACCTCGTCTTCTTCTTCTTCGTCGTCGCTCTGCTCTCCCTCGCTGTGCTCGATGTAACTTCCCTGTTCCGGGGTTTCCTCTTCTCCTTCGCTTCCCTCCTCGTCCTCCTCCTCCTCTTCCTCTTGTGATATCGCTTCGTCTTCGGAGGCTGTTCGAGGTTGAAAGAAAGCGAGGTCGATTATCCCCCGGGGATCCAAGTATGGTTGTTGCGATGGCGGGTTGTTGTTGCCCCCTAACTCCTCGAGGCAAGCTGACCATTGCAGGTAGGGTGTCAAAGCCCGTGAAAAGACGTGCGGGGCTGGGTTCTCGTCGCACTGCGAAATGATATCGAGAGGGAGATCGTCAACCAGCTGCGCGAGGAGAATTGTGAGTTCCTGTACGATCTGTTGTCGATAGCCGGGACGCACCTATCCGAATAGAAATCCGAGAAGGTCTCCTTCCTCCTCCGTCCTCCCCGCTTGGATAATTAACTGCTCCACGTATGCGACCCAAGGGCAGTGCTCTACGTCCCTCGTCCACGTCAGTTGCACTCCGACCAGACACACTGAAAGATCGACGAAATGTTCGCACCACGGCTCCTACTGTCTTCAATCGAGAAGCGGAACGACAAGTGGTTCCAGACGAAAGGAGAGACGGGGGCAAAGGTCAGACTGCTAGAAGGTAGGGAAGAGAGAGGGGAGAGCGAAGGTAGAGAGTCGGGATCGGTTCATTGGGGATGCTGGAAAGGGACGAGCTCAAGAAGCACCACCGTGGGCGCGTGTCGAGACGTTCGGAGTCCTCGGATGTCGATGTCGTCCACGGGGACAAGATTATCGCCGCGGCGCGTAAGCCACTGACTCCATTCTGCTGCCAGCCGTTGTCCCCACTCCCTTAGCGACGTCCGGATGGGCGTGTGTCGCAGAGGGCTGATCGTGTTAATATCACCGCTGAAGATGACGACGGTGGATACGTGGCTAACTCCTGGTGCTGACAGTCGTCGAACCGCCGTCGCCTCTGCCAGTACGATCGCTTGATGATGGTCGGTGAATCGGAACTCTGCCACTGCGTATACCCCGGTAGTGCTGAAGAATTGCGCGAGCCGTAGGAGGTCCAAAATGAATCGCGGATGATGAACCTGCCGAATTGCCGAGATGTCGCCACGTGGCGCCAGCATGTGATCGTCGAGAGCCCGCTTAGTGAGAAAACTCATAGCGATGGCGATGAGGACGGAGTAGGAGAAGCAGGAGGGGATGAGAGCAATAAGGAGTCGTCTTCCCCTTCCGTAGCGAAGGAGGAAGCAGACACAACTGGATATGGAGAGGAAGGGAGAGGACGTAGATAGGACACGTGGCGGACGATCGATCGAGCTGATCGGCTTCTCGAGACCTCCGGCACGAGGCGCACGGTGTTCACTCCGTTCGGGCCGAGTTCGATCACACGAAATCGCCCGAAGAATCGTGGCGTTGTCCCCTTGGCGAGCACATTTCCTCACATGCACCAGGTCCCCTAATTTATACTGGGGCCGTGGTCCTGCGTTCCCATTTCGGGCCTCGTAGCTACGGACCTGTCGGCCGTGGGCCAATTCAATCATTTTCTGGCGCTTTCGGGCCAATCGGGGAAGAGACCGTTCCATCAGCTCCATGTGCCGCTTGGCCTTGTCCCAAGCCGTGGCCCTTGTGGGCCGTCGGTTCAATGAAGATTCAACGAGGAGGCTTGGTATCGAGACACAAGCTACGCTATTGGTTCGTAATTGGAAGGGGCTAAGGCCTGTCAATTCGTGGGGCGTTCTCCGATGGACCACTAGGATGTGATCTACGATATCGGGTCAGGAACTTGGATCCCGTGCCGCGATGTTTCGTCGCAGTGCCGTCTTTATTACTCGATTTGTGTTTTCTACCAGGCCGTTAGATTGTAACATATGGGTGCAGTGTTCCGAATAGCTACACCATGTACAACCAGATTCCTTAAAACTTTCCCTCAGAATTCTACCCCATTCTCGGTCAGGATTTCCTTTATGTCTTGGTGCATCCCTAGAAACCGGTTGACGTATCACGCGATTTCAGCCGCTTGTGTACGACACGGATATGCCTCAATCCATTTCGAAAAGTGGTCTACGAATACCAGTAGGATTGAATACTCGCAGCTATTCGGTCCAGGGGGCACCACAATATCGGTAGTATCCATACTCACCCTTTGAAAAGGCCGTTCAACTACCGTCGGTACTATCGATCTTGGCGGCTGGATCGGCGCCTTGTCAGCAGCGCAGACCTCGCAATTCGCGACGATGAATTTTACATCATCGCGAATATTCAACCAATACCACTCGTTCTTGTCGATTGCCGCTTCCGTGATCCGCACGGCAAAATGGGCTGCCGTTTCCTCATGCGCCGTCTTAACCCAGTCATACCTCATGAACGGGTGTGACACTACCATCCAAATCCCACTATCATCCGTCTTCCGTTTTTCTAACCGGCCCTCGTTCCAACGATAATCTCGAGCCCTTTCATTGGCCCTCCTCCGGTCTTCCTTAGTGAAGGCCTGGAGGGGGTTTCCTACCAAGGTAGCAATTAGAGCGATGTCCGTTCATACCTCGGCCCTTCTAAACTTTCGGGTCTTTTCCAACCCTTCTGACGTGGCGTCGAGAAATTGAGCTTCAGTCGGAATCTTATCAGTTCGACACAAGGGACACAACCAAGGCTTATCGTCGTTTCTGTACTGGATGCACGAGCCATGCGCTCGTGCGACACACTGTCAACAATCTATCCATTCTACATACCCTTCCCCAATAGGATGCATTGGGATCGAGTAGACGCACGAGATCGCTTCACAAAAATAACAAAATTTGTCGGCTAAGGAGAGAAAAGATGAAGATGAGAGGGGAGAGAGAGGAGTTGTAGGATTACCTCCATCACCTATTGCCCTGCTTCTTGCCACGAGGAAGGACCGCCACTTGTCCGTACTTGGGTTCGTTCGCTGACTCCGGCTCCTTCCACGAAATGATTTCTTCGCCCTTCGGTACCTTAGCGGGGCGATGCAGATATGTCAACCCGTCCTCGTTACCGTGCCTCTCTGTCTTTCAGTGGATGATGTCGAAATCGTATTCCTGTAGGCGCACAACCCATCGTCCAATCATGCCTATGTAATTAGTGAGCTTCTTGAGAGCCAATAATGGCTCATGATCGGTTACAAGGAGGAACTTTTGTCCGTACAACTTGAAGTACGGATGAAAGTGCCGAATTCCCCAGACTACAGCATAGCATTCACCTTGTGGGGCTGAGTCATTCCTTCGTTCGTCTGGCACCGTACGAAACGTGTACTCGATGACGTGCTCTCGACCGTCATTCTCTTTCTGCGCTAAAATAGCGGAAATCGCCTCTGGCTGCCAGTCCGTGATGAGAATGAACTGCTTCATAGGGTCCGACCGGATGAAAATAGGTGTCGTCGCCAAAGCGCCTTTGAGGGTGGCGAAGGCCTGTTCGCACTCTGCGTCCCAACTAAGGGGTTGGTCCTTTCGCAATAGATTCGTCAGAGATCGTGCAATCGCAGCGAAGCCCTTGATAAAACGATGGTAGTAAAATGCCAGTCCCAGGAAAGCTCGAACCTGCGTCACTGACGTGGGGACAGGAGCATCTTTCACCGCCGCGACTTTCCTTGAATCTAGCCGCAGTCCTCCACGTGTCACCACGTAACCCAAGAACGAGATTTCCGAGAGGAAAAACTCGCTCTTTTCGAGCGCGATTTTGAACCCAGCGTCTCTCAGAGCTCCCAGCGTCCACTCGATGTGTTGTGCATGCCCGTGATAGGTCTCCGAGTAGACGAGGATATCGTCCATGTATACGATGACGCAGAAGTTAATCATCCCCTGAGTGAGCTGCGTCTTGTTGACGAAGTTCTGGAACGTCACGTTCATCGCCCACTGAAACGTGGCAGGCGCATTGCAAATACCCATCGGACATCGGACCCACTGCCGCGTGCCTTCGAACAGTACAAAGGCCATTTTCGGTTGATCTTTCTCCTTAACCAGAATGTGATGGAAGCCGTGACGAATATCAAACTTACTAAAATAATTAGCACAACCAATCGCATCCTGCAAATCATCAATCCTGGGAAGGGGGTACACATCTTTAATCGTGATGTCATTCAGTTTGCGATAACCAATGCATATGCGAATCGACCCATTCTTTTTCGGCACCAATATTACCGGAAACGACCATGGCCCAGTGGCGGGTTCGATCCAACCATTGGCCTGAAATTCTCGAATCCGCTCGAGGGCCGTTCTTTGTTCTGCCAGGGAGTATCTGTAGGGCTTACAGTAAATCGGGGGATGGTTTCCAGTTTGAATTTCGTGTTGTATGACTAAAGATAGTCCAATGTCTGTGTCCGTTAGACTAATCGCTCCTTTGTATTCTTTTAAAATTTTTGCGATTAAATGATGGATTTCATGAGGTACGTATTGGGGCACGTGCAACTCGTACAGCTCATTCCATATCCGTACATTGATGTGTTTCGTACTTACCCGTTTATCGCTTTCAGGTGGAGGCGCGGAAATAAACGAGTTGTCCGATTGCCAGGAGAATACCGTGGTCATCATCTGTGCATCTTGTTCTCGAATGGCCACGTGTTCTTCCGGTGTTATCTCGTCTCGAATGTCCTGCCAAGGTACTGGTTTCGTCGCGATCTTAATCCCAATTTCGGTTTCGAGGCGCTCAGGGGGTTCCAAAGAATTGGTCTCCGCCCCTAAGCGTATCAATCGTATCTCTTTTGCAGGCGTCAAGAGAGATCGTGGGAGGTTTGTGATGTCGCAATAGTGCCTTTTGTCATTGTCTCGTAAGAGTAGAGGAGAGATACCTTCGTACAGGGTTCGAGGGGGTTCCAAAGAATCGACCATCCTCGAAATCTGCACGAGGGGCTCATCCATAATCATGGCTTGCGTTCTCTGTAGACTCTAATTGGTCAGGCTTAGTGACCTTGTGTTTGCTCATTGCATCGGGTAATGGATACGTTGTTGCGGCATTTCCAGGATCTCTGGATCGTCCTCGTCACTGTTGTCCGTGTCTTTTGCCGGTTGCCCGTTATCTGCGGAATTATCCCAGGTGATCACGCAAAGAGTTCCCGCCATCATGGGGGGGACTCGCGGAGTCGCGTTAGCGGCGGTACGAAGGGTCAATCTCATCGCTACAACATACGGTTTTCCTCCTGTATTTCAGAGGACAATCGATCGTCTTTCGAAATCCAGATTGGCTCTCAGGGCCACAAGAGCGGGAAGGCCAAAAAGGACGTCGTAAGTGTTCACGTCTAGGACTACGACATCTCCTAGAGCATGTACCTTCCCTAATTGAAAAGCAACATTGGTCATTCATCCCACCGTTTTAATTTTTTCCTCATCTGCTGAAACGAGCTGATCTTTTTCCGTAAGCATGATTAGATCGTTCTTCCTCCCTGCTCTTTCAACTACCCGTAACGAGATAGCCAGAACAGAGGCTTCTGAATCGATAATGGCATTGTACGGGATTCCCCATATCTCGATATCACATTCTGCAGATTTCCATGGGATTGGTTTAATCCGTAGGAAGTTATCATCTTTCTGGATTAATCCTAATCGTATCGGGTTCGAAGTTCCTGATGCATTTTCATCTGGCGTGGGATTTTTCGCTTTTGTGCTCGATGTTCGGGCAAGGGCAAATCGTTTTCGATTCGCTTTGCAGTATTGCAACATTCGTTCGTTTGCTTGATCCGAAATCGAAAGTAGATGACCGATCGGAAGGGGAATCCGATGGTCCAAGGCTCGAATGATGTTTAGAACATCGATTTCTCCTGTGACGAAAGTGGGTCCTCCCGACTCCATTTCTCCTGGAGAGGGTCGCCATTCCGCCACTTCTCTTTGTTCTGACGCGGGTCTAATCGTTCCAATCATCCCAAGTCCCGGGTAGCCAAGTGTCACGTACTGATCTAACGGGATTAGTTCAACAGCTTCCTCCGTCGTAGCTAATGTGCTTCCGCCTCCTTCCATTTCTTCCATCAAAGCCCCTACTCGTCCAGGTCCGTTGGCAATCGGGGCCACTGCTACCAGTGCGGCTCCGACTCGTTGCTGCGGGGGTCGATGAGGGCAATCCCGGGCTATATGTCCTGGTTAGTGACACGTGTAACAGACGTTCAGATTGCCCGGGATCCCTACGGGAGGGGGTGCCGGAGCCAATCCGTGCTGAATCGGGGCGGCACGCACCGCTATTGGCCGCATCGACCTCATCATCGCCTCTATCCGAGCGTTGTGTTCCCGCTGTTCCTTTTTGCTTTCCTTAGTCAGAGTAACCAATGTCTTGGTTAGTTCTAATAAGGCGGAAGACTCATTCGGTCGTGAGGGGGTTTCGATCGGGGGTGGAGGTGTTGTCATCACGGGCATGGGCACGCTCGTAATCACACTCGGGACCAGTCGTTTGGGACCAATCTGCTCCTGATAGGTGACAGGGACCGACACAAACCCCATGTTTTCAAATTTGTTCTGCAGTGCAGCCAACTCAGCTTTAGCTCTTGCCAGCTCGGACGAGTCTCCTTCCCTACGATAGTCTTCCCCTTCTAGGAAACTCGCAGCGAACTTTCGTTCCATTTCTTCTGCAGCTGCCATGATCGGTTGCAGCGTGTGGTTGATGGGGGAGAACTGCTTTCACAGTTTCGCCCTCATTGTTCGGCTGCGAAGTCCATCGATGAACAAATCTCGGCCTACTTGTTCGCCTCGTTCTGTTTTCACAAACATCCTATAGAATCGGTTTCGATATTCGGTAACATATTCGAGGGGTTTTTGAACTCGATCTTTAATCATAAAAAGAGCTTGTTCGGGATGGATGTAATCAAATTGGTTCAAGAAATCTCGCTCGAATGTCGGGAGATCGACCCATACATAGGTGCTAAACTAGTGATGGGCATTTCCTCCCAGTCGTGTGGGGATGTTCACCTGTGCCTCGTTATCATCATACTGTTGAGCCCGAAGCGTGGCTAACCATGCTCCAGCGAGATGATGAGCAAGGTCGAATAGATAAGGATCGGGTGGCGTCATGGGAGCCCGTGCTCGTGGTATGGGTTGATTAGGATTCTGCTGGGGACTCGAGATTTGTTGGGGGTTCTGCCGATCAGCATTCATATTGACCGTCTGTCGAGCCGCAGACCGGTTTCTGGTGACGACGGGATCGCGTCGGTGCGCATTCCGGGGTCGAGGTCGTCCCATGTTAGCCAGATCGCTCAGCTCTGAGTCCTAGAGCCCTGCCACGTGTCGGGCTCCGATACCAACCTCACGCCCAGCGCGACTTCCTCATCGGAGTGGGATGTGGGCCTAGAAGTGCGAAAAGGGGTGTGCCAAGGATTTTTGGGAAAGTGGGGGTGGAGTCCCGGGTCGGAATTGAGATCTCCTGTGGCAAAGTTTCAGGGGCATAGATGCAATAGAGCTAAGGGGGCAGGTTACTTTCGGTCTGTGGGCGTTCGATGTCGTTTAGCATAACGCAGATGGCATGCGCGGTGCACTCAAGGTCGTCCGATCCGTCTGTTTTGGGGGCGGCGGTTCGGGGAGAGGCCCGCCCGGGATGGTTGTGTTCCCGATGAGTCGGACCTTTGAGTGCAGACAAATGACGTTTGTCGTCGCGCGTTTGGGTTAGGCCCTCTTAAAGGGGCTCGTCTGTTGCTGCGTCGCCGACAATTTCCGCAGGGCGTGCAGGGCCAGTACGGGGCGATGGAATTCCACGGAAGCATCGTGAGTTGGTGATACGGGAGGAGGAGACGGAAGGGAGGGAAATTGGTAGAGATAACGACGAAGCCGATGGATATGAAATATTCGGTGTTGTCCGAAGTGGGAAAATCGGGGCACCTCGGATCGCTGGTTGTGGCGCAGAGAAACTCCCTGAGGCACAATCGATTCTCGGTTAGGCAGGGGAATTCTGAGTATCTTTGCCTAATACACTCTCTCATCCAAGGGTCGAAGTACTCCGAGTCCCAAGAGCTCGACAATTCTTCCGCACGCGTCTAACCGGCGAGGAGATTTTTTGATTTGATATCGGAAACTCCTATCCATTTAGGTGCGTGGGGGAAGGAAAATTCCGCCTATCCGATATCAGGGGTGTCAAGTTCGTCAATGGTCGCGAATTGGCGCGCGTGGATACGTGTAGGCTGCGCAGATCAGATCCCGCTTACACGCATCCCCGCGAGGTATTCGCTTGGTTCTGGACAAACCACTACCCAATCATATAATCACTCCGTGATCCCGCACATAATCGTTCCTGAGGAGGCAAGGTGCTATTACACATCAGGCATCACAGGATTCACAGCAACAACAGTGGCTCGAAAAGGAATAAACAGCAACGGAAGCAGTAATGACGACTACACAGAAGTTTCTACTATCAACCTCAGCTCCCTCTTCCTCTCTCTCTCTCCGATGTGGACAGTCCATCGTCACGCACCAACCCACGAAGTCGTCACCCCACTTAGTCCTCCTGCACCCGTCAGGTTCGCCCTCACGCTACAGTCCGTTGTAGCCCCACGCGTCAACCCCGCGCATTCGGCATTAGCTCGTCGGGTCGCCCGACTCCCACTTCAACTCACCTCTTACTTCGCTCGTGAGCCGACCCTCACTGATCGCGCTACCCCAAGCTTCCAACAACTGGTTAAGAGAGCTATCTAATCGCGCAGCCAAAATTTATAGTGTGCATGCATGCGCGAAGAACACGGAATTGCAAGGACTTAGAAAGGAGATTAGGAGGGAGCGCCTACGTTCTGCATGGCCAGACCGAGGCGTGGGGGACGTAGCCACTCTCCACGCATCGATCCGAGCATGCAAGCCGCGGGGTAACTAGGCACAGCAAAAGGGGAAGGGAGACCGGGAAAGACGAAGCTCAAGAAGAAAGATACAGTTACAATGGCGCCCGCCCGAAAATTACAGTTACTTGCAAGATTAAGGGCGCCGACTAATCAGAACTCCGTTGCGGCCGCAAAAAGAAGCGCGCAAGAAAGACAGCGCGCGGCAAAAGAAATCCCGAATTCCTAAATTCCTAGCTAATGCAAAAAGAAATACTAATTCCGAAAAAAAATCCGAAGTTCCGAGAGCCGTCAAGGCTCGACAAGATTCAAAAGAAGAAAAAAAAAAGGAAAATTCGAAAAGATCGAAGCGAAGATTCTCGCGCGATCTCCGCGCCTAAAATCCAACAACAGAACAGGAAAGAAGTGACGTCAACCATTATTAATCGTGCCTTGTCGGCGCGCCAGCCACTCAATCGGCCATCTCGGGACTTGCCCGACCCTGAACCCAACCGTCCGAAAAGAAGCGACGAAAGAGAAAAGACGAAAAAGCGAGGACACTGATGCAATTTTCCCTCAATCCCGATCTTCCGTAATTGGCCCAACCTTCCCATCTTAGGACCCCTCATTGTCATCGCGCAGAAGATCGCGCGGAACAGAAATTGGTTCGTCACAGCATCTCCTTCTTCATCTGCTCGCGTGCTTCCGCCTCCAGTTGTAGTTTCTGCTCCTTACGCTTCTTACGCCGTTCGGCCTCCTCTCATGCCTGGACCTCAGCCAGCCTCGCTTCTTCTTCGCACCGTTTCTGCTCTATCTTCTCCTGCTTGCGCTTGGCCTTCTCCTCCTTCTTCTTGATCTCATTGTCCGTGTGCTCCTTCATAGTCGCAATCGACGCAGCCAGATCGTCGATTTGCCGTCGTAGTGCGGGTCTTCCGAAGTGGCTCTAGTCGCCTGTGCTCCCGCTTGCCTCTTAGGTGAGAACGATCGACCGCGCTGAGCTGTAGCTCGTGAGCTACCTTCTCCAACAAGTTTTGGGCACTGATTGCAATAGTGTCCTGGCTCCCCACATTCATAGCACATGGGTGTAAAACGCCTGGTGGGGGGATCCCGCCCCCTATCTTGGTAGCTGGAGCTCCCATAATCCGAGGTGTGCTCATGGCTATGCTCCCCACCTCTATCCCACCGGCCATCGTAACCACTATCACGGCTACGGTCGCTGTGTCGTTCACGGTATTCCTCCCGGCCGAATTCCCGTCGGCCCGAGCCACCCATGTCTTCTATCGGATAACACCGAGAGAAAAAACACACAATTCGCGCCGTCCCCCTGCACCCAGGTAACACGCCTTGTCCGTACTTCACGACACAGGAGAAAGGCGAAAGGAAAGAGGTAGAGGATGTACGCACAACAGCGTATACTAGTCCCCCGTCATGAGACTCAAAACTTCCAAGTCGACAATCGAAGTAACAATCGAAGTAAACAATAGAAGTAACAATCGATGTGAACAATCGAAGTAACAATCGAAGTAACCAAGTCATGCTCACACACACTCAGCCAACATTTCCGAGTAGGTTCACATGTGCCTTCAGTAGGTTGATTACCGACAGAGGTGATGTAAGCAAGATCACACGTACATGGCATGCAAGCACACTCACGCACAGAGTTCAAGACTCTCAGGACGCAAATCCAAAAAATCCGAACAGTATTGCTTAGTATTGCTTCATA